GCCAGCTAAAGAATAGAGCTGGGGAAGCCTGCAGAACTTTCTGAGGAAAAATAACACTTTTCTGAGAGTGGCCAATGCATTTATCAAGAACTCTGCAGGCTGCCTCAGATATGAGGCAGAGATGCCCAAACAATGAGTTATACCCAATCCCCCACTAGCAAGATTCAAACAGAAGGTGATAAACAGTCAAGACAAACACAATACCAAACATACTGATGACACTGTAGCATCAGGATGTTCGTGACCTTTCCCTTGACCTCTGCTCTGTGCTGCCCTTTGAGCCTGTGGGGCCTGAGCAAACCTTACCTTGAGCCACTTGGACCTGCAGCTGCATTTCTGCTTCCCCTTCCTTTGCTCCTACTCCTTTCCACAAAGGAGGGATGGTGGCTTCTGCACAGCCCCTCTGCTCCAGCACTGAGACAAGCAGAAAACAAGCTGGTTGTTGCATCTCTTCCCTTTGACTGGTGACACAGCACTTTGTCAGAAAAAAAGTGATCCTAGGAGCATAGAATGGCTTGGGTTAGAAGGGACCTTAAAGGTCATCCAGTTCCAACCCCTCTGCCACAGGTAGGGATACCTTCCCAAAGATCAAGTTGCTCAAAGCCCTGTCCAATATAGCCTTGAAAACCTCCAATGATGGGGTACCCACAGCTCCTCTGGTCAACCTGTCCAGTTCCTCACAGCCTGTTGCCACCCTCACAGCCAAGAATTTCTTCCTAACTTATCTAAATCTACTCTCTTTCAGTTGGAAGCCATTCCCCCCTATCCTTTCATTACATGCCCCGAAAAAATTCTGTTTCCATCTTTCCTGGAAGGCCACAATTAGGTCACTATGAAGCCTTCTCGTATTCAGGCTGAACAATCCCAGCTCTCCCAGCCTTTCCTCCCAGCAGAGCTGCACCATCCCTCTGATCATCTGGGTGCCTCTTCTGGACTCTATAACAGCTCCATGTCCTTCCTGTGCTGGGACCCCAGGGCTGGAGGCAGCTCTGCAGGGGGGGTCTCACCTGAGGGGGCAGAGGGGCAGAATCCCCCCCTCACCTGCTGCTCACACTGTTTGTGATGCAGCCCAGACATGGTTGGTTTTGGGGTTGCCAGAGCACATGGCCAGGCCTTGTCCAGCCACTCATTCACCAACACCTCCAAGTCCATCTTGGCAGGGCTGCTCTCAATCTGTTCATCCCTCAGCCTGGATTAAATACCAGGGGTTGCCCTGATCCAGGTGAAGGACCTTGCACTTGGATGAGGTAGGATAGAGGAGAGGGTGCTGTATACGTGGACTCGAAGAACCTATAAGAGAAAGAAAACATATTGGGGTGTGGAGATTTCTATAGGAGAAAGGGCCCCGTGCTCCAAATGGAGATAAACACATCCTGTGAAACCTTGCTGGGGTGGACGACCTTGTTCCACAGAAGAATTTGCAGAATAGGGACCTCAGCACCCAACAGGGTGACAGCCTCCACCACTAATCACTGTGTTGAGAGGACTTCCGAAATCAGCTCAGCCGGGCTCCCCCAGTGACCTCATGCCTTCAACAGCAACTAAGAATGATGTTGTGCTTGTTTTTTAATGAAACTTTGACCGAAGATAGCTGGCTCTTCAATATCTTACACATTCAACTGCAGCCAAAGAGATTTATCATCATTCAGAAAACTCATTGCACAGTGATCAAAGAAGACACCCCTACCCACAGATTCTCTACCCAAAATAAAGAGATGGAGGGTGATAAATATTTCCACTTACACCCCCAACCAACAGTCTTCAGCCACAAAATTCATTTTGCATGAGCTCTATACAGGGTACATACGCTTGGTCCTTAAAAAAGTCCCAGAACTGTCCATGCCCTCACTTTGGCACAGGACACAGCACAGTGCCCTGGCAGTGCCACTGCAATAGCTCTCTTTGGTGGCATATTTCTTGCTCCATGGGGCAGCTGTTTTGTTAGTGGCCTTCAAAGGCAAACTGCCTTGGCAGACACAGAACAGAGCCAAACTTTGTGGCCTCTGCTGCCCCTTGATGGTTTACTCTTCTGTCATTTACCAGCAACATTTCGCTGGATTGGGCCCACAATATGGAAAAGCTGATTGCAAGACGACCAGAGACAGAGAAGACCTTTTCCCAGTCAGGTCCAGCAAGAACAAAATCTCCCCTCTCCCAGGGCTACCAAATTCTATGAATTAACAGCTTGGGCACTGCAGGTCCAGCTGGGCTTCATTCAGTACCAGTGTGCAATTAGCAGTAAAGAGCAATCAGTCTGCTTAAAACTGATTAAAGTATCGATTATGCTAACAGAGGGAACACAGAGAGTAGACAAAGCAATCTTAGAACAGACGTCTTTGTGTCCATCTGCCCTTATCATTGTGTAACAACAGCACAGGTCAGCCTGACTCCTTCAGAAGCACGGCAGAGAATCGCTTTGATCTGAGCAATCCCCTAATAGCTTCCTCTTTGGGAAGGAGAGGATCTCTTTTTAGCCACACAGAGTTCCTATGCTCGGATCAGCTCCAGCACTTCCTCTGCATCTTCAGACGCCTTCTCCGTTCCTGCTTGTTTTCTCAACAGTCCTGATTTAACATCTCCACACAGTAACTGCCCTTCTGACTGAGTTCAGATACCTCGTCCATAGCACAGAGCAGCTGCATTTTTATGATGCTCTGTATTCTGTAAATACTGGTGGAAAGTTGTGTTAAAGAAACAAGCATTAATTCACTGTCCAGTGGCTCAAGGTTCAAAGCACGGCAGCACCATCGACTAAATTAATGCAGAGTTGGATCAAAGTCAAGCTATACCTGAAAATTTTTATGTGGACAACTGGCTTTATCTAAAAAAAAAAAAAAGACCTATTCACAGGGGCTGATATTTAAAGTTTTTTATTATTTACTCAAGTAATACATATTTGGAATCACAAAAAAAAAAAAACGAGGGAAAAAAGATTCACCAAATATTGCAGAATACAAGGTGTACAGACACTTGAACTTGTGTCTATTTCTGGCACTCCATTTCTTTTCTGTATGTGGTACATAAAACTGAAGTGTGCATATTGACTGTGGCATTCGTTGCACACAGATGACTTCCCCTCCGAGGAACACTTTGGAACACTTTGGATATAGTTACATTTGGCTCTCTGGGAGGACTTTTTGATATCTTCTTTCCCAAGCAGCTGTTCACATTGCTCCTTTAAGGCCCATTCCTGCCATTATTCAGAAATGCAGAGGAACTTCTCACCTGCAACAAGCCTTATCAGATATTTAAGTAAATAAAGCAGCAGAGGAGACAAGGCAGAAATCTCACAACAAGCTGTTGCATGAGAGCACAAGCCCTGCTGTGATGGGAGGACAGAAAGGTCACACACAGCATCTCACATGCAGCAGATGCACAGTTATTACAAGACTTCTCTAGGTCTGTGGAAAACAGGACAAGAAGAACTTTTACCAAACAGCATGAAAAAAAAGAGAAGTTTTCTCTGAAAGGCTATGCTATATCTCCTATGCTCCTATGCTCCAAAAACTATGCACTTCTTTGACTGGAGCTGCTTTAGCCAGAAGTGTGGTAACGTATCTTAGCAACAGCAGCAAGGGGGAAGACTTACTGTACTGTAAAAGAATTAAAACAAAATGCATATAGCTGCTGACTGTTATAAATACATCCCTACCACTCTGAGGGGGTGTTCCATTATACTCCTGATTACTTTTCACATTCCCTTTTCCAAAGGGGCGGGGGCATTTCTCCGGTTTTCAGCTCACCCATGAAGAGCCCCGAGCATTTTAATTCCCCTTCAGCTACAGCTCCGACCAGACAGGCTCTACAGTGTAACCTGTCACCATCCCAGCTACATTAGGAAAAGCCATTACTGTAGCACCCCGGAGATAACCTCTTTGTGTGAGCTGTGCTGCCACTCCCTCAGGTGTTCAGCTGCCATCAGCCTGCAGCAGCTTTTCCCTGCTGTGTCGGGAGCAGGTGAGACCAGACATACCAGGACTGCAATATTTCACATTCCTACTTGTCAGGCAAACAGAAAGCTTTGTGCAGCAGGGGAACTTCGCACAATTTCACCTTTTACTAAGGTGTGTAGTTTCCCCACAAGTACAATAACCTCTTTGAGAGCAAGCTTTATCTATGCCCTCTCCTCCAGTCCCCAGCCAGGCCAAGGTCCTTGCAGGCTTCCCACCTCCCCTGCAGCACCTTCCTCCCTGAGGAGAGTTCCACCAGCCAGGACAGGGGCCACATCCCCCTCCTGCCCGGGGGGAAAGCATCCAACTGCAAAAGAACACAAGAAGCACTGATCTGATGTAAGGGAGAACCTACAAAGTAAGTGCAAGAGCTCCAGATTTTAAATGACAGAGCCAGAGCACTGAAAACATCAGTGAAAAAATGTGAAAACACTTTTTTTTTTTTTCTTCAGCAAGTGAAGGTGGGCTCCCATTTTCTTTTTAAGGATTATTCTCTGCAAGCAACTCTGACAATGGCTACGATCAACAGCCTCACCTGAGTATCCTCCCAGCAAATAGTTTGCTCAGCCTTCCTAGGAATGAACACTACTGCTGTCTGCCTTCTAGTGAAACTTCATTTAATAGCCATGAAACACCTGGAAATCTTTTGGATGATTACTCCAGCTCAAGGAAGGGAGGGAGCTCTTTCTGTTTACTATGGCAGGGGAGGGATCTTAGTCCACGCATCTTAGCTCAGATTTAGACACAAGGAGTGACCAGGTGGTTGCCTAGGACAGAAAATTGATCAGCGGACAGGGAGAGCACACACGACTAAGGCTGAGTAATTTTCAACTTTAACTACTACACCGGATGGGGGGAAGGGTCAGAAACAGCCACAAAGTGGCTCTGCTGAGACTTGCCCGGTGTTATATTTCAAGGCTTTTGGACTATCTGCTCCATCCAGCGATCTATCTGGCGCTGTCATTACTCCAGAGATGTAGAGACTAATTCCATCCTAAGTGTTCCCATCCTTCAAAAGGCCGCACTTGACTGCCGTTATTAACTCCGTGCATGATGAAGACATTCAAAAAGCCTCGCAGGCTTTCTCCCAAGCAGACGCCTTGCACGCCTCGCTCCTGCCAGCGCAGCAGACGGAATTTCCACACGCACATCCATCCATTCGCCCGCTCCTCGCACATGGACACCCGTGCGGGAGACGCACCCGCATCCCCGGGTGACCCCGCATTCCCACCTCCGCCTCCTCCTGCCCGAGCACAGCCTCTGGTCCCGGGGGGTGGCGAGGCGAGCCCTGGCAGGTTGCCGGAGCCCCGGCGGGGATCCCCGCTCCGCCGCTCTCCCTTTAGGGCTTTCGGAAACTTTTCTCCCCTCCGTGCCGTCACGCTCCGATAGCGGGGCTGTGGGCTGGGCTGAGCCGAGCTGGGTTAGGCTGAGCCGAGCCCTGCCGGGAAGTTTCTCCCGAGGGCGCTGGGTCGGAGCAAGTTTCCCGCACGGTCCCCAAAGCTCCGAGCGCTCCGGCTGCCCGGGGACCGTGCGGGAGGAACGCGAGGTGGAGCTCGCTTCGGGGGAGGGGGAGATGGAGCCGGGGCGTGGGTAAGCCGCTCCCTTCTCCTTCCTCCTCCTCCTCCTCCTCCTCCTCCTCCTCCTCCCCCCTCGGCTGCTCCCGTCTGGCAGCCAGGCGGCCGCTGCCTCCGGCCGGAGCCGCCGCACTTGGGAAGCGGCCCCCGCGCTGCCGCCGGGATGGGGACGCCGCTGGCGGCTCCCGCATTCCTGCTCCTCCTGGCCGGCACCACGGGGCTCTGCCGGGCTCTCTTCTCGCTGCCGCTCCGCGTGTCCCGTCCCGCCGCCCCCGGCGGGTCCCCGCCCGCCCCGGTGGTGCTGCGGCCGGGGGGCAGCGCCCCGCAGCAGGACCCCGCCGGGGCCGCGGACGGCTTGGCCCTGGCCTCGGATCCCGGGGGCACCCTCAACTTTTTGGCCATGGTGGAGAACCTCCAGGGCGACTCCGGCCGCGGCTACTACCTAGAGATGCTGATCGGGACCCCGCCGCAGGCGGTAGGAGCGGGATGGGGGACGCGGGCTTGGGGGAAGGATGGGAGGGGGGCAAACTTCTCCTGGGTGGGAGCGAATCTGCGGGGGCCCCCCCCTGCCCGGCCCAAACGCAACTTTCTCCCGGTGCTCAGTGCTGGCGCCTCCCTCCTTCTCCCTTTCCCTCCCCCCTTTCCCGAGAGATGGTGCCGGTGCTCGGCGCGGGGGAGCGGCGGCGGCAGACGGGAGTTTCCACGGGCCGGGAAAGAGGGATGGAAGGAGAAAGGCGCATCCCCCGCGCCCTCCCGAGCCCCGGCTGCCCAGCCCCGGCTGCCCTGTCCTGCCCCGACCCGGTGACCGCTTGGGAAATCCCGCGGACCTGGTCCCCGGTTTTAGGCTGTGTCACGGCGTTTGAATCCGCAGCGAATTGCTCTGTCAGTTCGAAACGACCGTGGTTTTGGAGATAGAGGGTGCTTTTTTTATTCATTGCTTTTTAAGCTGCTTTGCATCGTGATTGGGCGCTTTGGTGGATCTTCCCGGTGCTCCCGGGAGAATCGCTCGAAATCTTCCTGCTAAACTAAGTGATGGCTGGGCAGAACCAGCCCCTTCTGTCCAGAATCCATGTGTTACTCATTAACAGCGCGAAGAACGATTGTGTTCTGAATATTGTTTTGGAATAGACCGTGTTGCCCTGAATCTCCCCCGTCTGCATCCACCAGCGTGGCTGAAGTGTTGTTGGTTTTTTGCTGGTTTTTTTTGGTTGTTTTTTTTTGCCATGTAGTTGCTCTTTCATCTGTGTCATGAGATCCCAGGAGGAGCGGTGCTGGGCTGCTGGTGGGGATGACTAGTCAGCTGAGTGGGGATTAATTTCCTGAGAGTCCTCGGGGCTTTCCCTCAAAACTTCGTGTTTGCTTCAGGAGTTTAGGTCCTTCCGTTCCCGGTGCACACACGCACAAAAAAAATAATAAAAACAAAAAATTCCTTATTCTTCTGCTTAACTCCTCTGCGTGATAAAAAGCCAATGAATGCCAAAATGCCCAGCCAACAGGAAGTGTTCAGCTGTCGTTACATTTTTGGACGTCTGTGAACTCTTTCTTTTTTACACTTCTGATGTGAGAGGACTGGCCACATCATCGCTCTCATCGAAGTGTACCACACTAAGATCAATACATGTATTGAGAAAGGCTGGCGTGATCAATAAATGGAGTTTTAATAAAAAAACCTAACTAGATCTGGCGTATCAAAGTGTGGCCCCACAGCCACAGAGGCCACGAAATAATTTTTCCTCTGTGTTGAGCGCTGCATATTTGACTAGTTCTGTTCCTGTGGCGTTGTGAGTGCTTTGTTACTCCAGGGAACATTCAAACATTCAATACTGGTCTCTGCCAGGATCAAGATACCAGAGTTGATTGGACTAATAATCCAATTCAGTGTGTCTTAAATGAAAAAAAATAATTTCAGGTAGAAGAAGTGCCTATCAAGCGTATCATCTCCTTATGTGTCTAGGGGGATTCTGCAATTGGAAGAAATGGAGAAGGAAAAATGTGACACGCTTTTAATAATATGACTGGAGGTCTAAGAGGGAGAAATGTGCTGCCCTCAGTACACCCAGAGGCTTCACTTACGCTTAACAGCTCCTATTACTTGTATTACAGGTGATGTAAGGTTTCAGCTAAACTTGCCTCTGATTTCTTTTTCCACCTGGAAAAAAAAAAAAAAAAGCTTTGAATGTGATTGCAAAGCTTTTACTGTTTTGAACTAGTTCTGAGTTCTTGCAGAGTTAATTATTTAAAAGACTGCTACTGGTGTTTAGCACATGTGAGGTTTTATTCACGAGTAGGCCCACTGAGGTTGTAAGTAAGGTTATAAATGCGATTGTGCTTCCAAAATCAGATCTTGGTGTGTAGTGACTCAGTAGAGTGCAGTTAAAATTTATTCTCTACTTTTGATGAGGCAGAATTTGTTATCTCGTTCCCTGCCTGAAACTGGAAGGCTTAAAGATCACAAATGTACTTGTTGTTTTTTCCGCTTTGCAATGAATAGTATAAAGCTACAAAGCTGCTGCTGGTGCTACTTGAATCCTTCACATGCTGATGCTAAAAGCAAGTGTAGGGATAGTGCCAAGCGTTGGGATTGTGTTAAGCTCCTTGTGCAAGTAGTTTCCGGAGTTGGAGTGGGCTGTGCACGATCATGTAGAAAAGGAGAGATGTCTCTTACTGATTTAAATGCTCCTCCCAACCTGACTTCACTTCACGTCAGAAGCTGCAGCGTAAAGTGATGCTTGGACACTTTCCAGTGCCTGAAGGGAGCCTACAAGAAGGATGGAGAGGGACTTTTTTTAACAAGACCGTGGAGTGACAGGACGAGGGGGAATGGCTTCAAACTGAGAGAGAGTAGGTTTGGATTAGATATTAGGAAGAAGTTCTGTGCTGTGAGGGTGGTGAGGCCCTGGCACAGGTTGCCCAGAGAAGCTGTGGCTGCCCCATCTCTGGAAGTGTTCAAGGCCTGGTTGAACGGGGCTTGGAGCAACCTGGTCTAGTGGAAGGTGTCCCTGCCCATGGCAGAGGGTTGGAACTGGATGTTCTTTAAGATTCCTTCTGACCCAGGCCATTTTATGATTCCTTTATTCTTGCACCCCTCCAACATGTGGGGAATTCCCAGGCTAACTCCCTTCCTCACCCAGGCCTGTCCTAGCACTGCCAAACCCACGCAGCAGGTAATGCCTTCCTGACATTTTGCCAAGGAGGAAGAAGGATACTGGCAGAGGAGAGCAGCAGAGCAGCACAGCTCGGCTTCCGCGCTGTCGGAGCAGAAGGGTGGATGGCAGAGCTGCCCTGGATGGCCTTGAAGAGAGGGGATGAGTAAATGCACACAGGGCACTAGTGGACCACGACCTGCCAGGCACCAGGCTTAATGTCATGGTTACAATAGTGTTGGCACCTGGTAACTTTGCAAGTGTGTGCGTCAAGTGTCGGGAGCTGCTGTGCCAGGATGGGGAATGAACATTTGTGAACGACTTCAGCACTACTGAGCTTGCTTCGCCCCTCAGCTGCATTTTTAGAAATTTTCCTTTTTTTTTTTTTAATTTCTGTTCTTGGAAGGAAGCTACTATGACAGAATTTCGTTTTTCAGGTCATTTAAGGCACGCTTTTTTGGCTTTGGTTCCAATTCTGATTTGTCATATAGCAGATAAACACAGCGCAGAGCTGCGATTCACAATGGCAGTTCTGAAACACTTGTTCTGACGGTACAAAAATAGAGCAGCTGTGTGAAGTCAAATTTATTTTATTTCCAAGACAGGAAACTTCAGTGCAGTCAATCCAGTTTTGCAAAGTGTTTGCAGCCAAAGTGTTTCTGATCATTTACAGTTTTACAGTACAGTATCCTTCCTAATCGTATCAGATCTCCAGACTAGCTACCAGGTGGTGTCAAATGTCATTACTCCCACTAATTCCTATTCATTCACATGTAGACCTATTTAAGAATTATGTGAAAGGTGAAAAAGGTGTATTGTATTGAAGAATATGATGTATTTGTCCCTTATTTCATGGAGGTATTACTATATGTCCTACTTCTGATGGATTACGTGCTTTATACCTGTCTGTATAGGTGCACTTCTTCCAATTCCAGATTTAAATAAGAGGTGCCAAGAGCCCAGTATGAATTGTGTGCACTGTTCTTAGTTATTTCTTTAAATAATCTGATGGAATTCCTTTGCTCTATCTTTTATTATTTCGCCTCCCTTGAGATTATAAACACTGTGAGAAACTGAATCAAAGATCATTTAGGGTTTTTTGCTATCTTCACTGCAGTTCTCTTCATATTAATTTTGTTTCTCCTATGAACCTTTGACCAAAAGAATAGTCAAACCCTTAAAAAAACCCATGTTCTTCACAGCTTTCTTGAAGTCCATCTGGACTGCATTAAATGTTTGCAAGGAAAGTACCATTGCCTCATCTTGGCTCTTGTGCTAGTCCTCATGATGTGAGCTGGTAGTCCTGCTGATCCCACTGCATTTCCAAACTGTGTTTTTATTGAGACCAGGTGAATGTTATTCCTGCAGCAGCTTCACTGTGAAGAGAGGCCGGGCTTGTGCCTCCTGAGAGCTGAGATCACATAGCTCTGGTCTGATGAGCGGGTATTGAAACCACAGCAGGATCCGAGTTGTGCTCTGAATGCCACAGCTCCCTTTTTTCAGTGTCAGTTCTTTCATTCTGTGCATGAAGAGGGTTTATCTGCTCGTCTTCCTAATGGCAGTTTGTTCTGTGCAGGGGGTGAGCAAAAACCTGTTCTGTAAACTTGCTCTGAAGTTTTAAGGTCAGAGTGGGTGCTGGGTCTAACAGCCTTCACTGTGAAACACAAACTCCACTTCCCATATAATTGGTGGGAGGTTATCTTTGCTTCAGATTCTTCCAGCTATTAAAGAAAAGAAGGGTAAGGAAGGATATGTATTAAGTACCTCAAGTGTGTCATGGACTCTTAGAATTTATGGCTTCGTGTTTTGAAGGTGATGAACACACGCATTAGCAAGTTCTCAACTTGCAGCCATTTCTCCTTAATTGGTGATGGCCCTTATTCCCTGAGTGTTGGAAGGAATGAAGATTGTGAGGGAAGATTCAACTGCTCTTGTAATTTCCCTGCTTCACCAGTCACGCTGTAGTAGGTGATAAGGGCCTGATTTCTGGAGCTGGGCTATTCCCTGAGAAGCTAAGCTCTGCTTTCTTAATTTTGCTGAAAAGGGGTTACTGTCTTTCTAGATACAAGAAGTTTGAAAAATGTGATCTCTCTCCGTTCAAATACCAGAAGGCAAGTTCCATCTCAAGCTTCTTTTTCTGTCTTTTTGTTTTGCTTTAGTTTTTTTTAATAATTACTTGAGTCTTTTGTGTTTATTTTTGAATTCTTTATGAAAACTGAAGAAAGGAAGGGTTGAGAAGCAAAGATGAGTGCTGTGGTTCATTGGAGTATTTGAGGTGGCAGGGTCAAAATCCCTCCATGTCCACCTTATGGAAGTACTATTGAAATGCAAA